TTGAATAATGGTGTTGGCAAAGAATACTGAATATACCACGGACTGCCAAAAAAACGAACAAATTCGTCTTGGAAGAAGTACAGCCAGAATGCTCCTCAGAAGCAAGGATAATGAGACTTCTTCTCATGTACTTTGGATATGTTATCAGGAGGGACCAGTTCTTGGAAAAGGACACCATGCTTGGTAAAGTGGAGGGTCAGTGAAAAATAGGCAGACCCTCAACAAGATGGACTGACACAGTGGCTGCAACAATGGGCTCAAGCATAACAACGATTATGAGGATAGTGCAAGACTGGACAGTGTTTCGTTCTGTTGTACATAGGTTCACTATGATTCGGAACTGACTCGATGGCACCTAACAACAACAACATACAACAATAATCAATATTGAGAAACTAAACTAGTTAAGTATTTACTAGGACAGTAAAGTATAATGGTAAAGAGTATGGATACTAGAAGTAGACTACCAAAGTTCGTATCTTAGATCTGTCACTCTCTAGCTATGCTGACTTAGGCAAATTATTTAATCATTCTCATTTATTAAATGGGGATAATAATAATACTTACCCTAGGAGGTATGTATGAGAATGAAATAAGTTAATTCATATAAAAGGCTTAAAGGAGTAGATGGCACGTTGTAAAGCACTCAAATACATGTTGTTATAATGATGATAATGATGTAGAATTTGGAACTCCACTTGGCAGGAAGCTAACAATCTTTAACACACTGAGTGAGAAATATAACTTATCAAAACTGACACAAACAAAACAACCCTGAACAGTCCTAAAATGTTTAAAGAAATTGAATCAACAGGTAAAAATATACACGGGGCAAAGAGTCATTCTCTTATACATAAGGTTGCCATGAGTTGGCACCAACTCAAGAGCAATCAGAAACAACAAAGCAAACTCCAAATACAGACAGCTTCACTGGTAAATTCTCTTAAACATGCAAGAAAGAAACAATTCAAATCTTACACGTATTCAGAGAAGAGGAATGAAAGGTTAACTCTTCAACCCATTACTAACCAGTAACATCAGCATAACGCTGGTACTAAACATGAAGAAAAAAATAAAAGAATGAAAAACTACAAGAATAATCCTACTAACAAAAGTAGGGGAAGAATCCTAACAAAATATTATTAGTCAATCTAAATCCAAGATATACAAAAAGATTATGAAAAAGTATATCTGAGAAAAGCAAAGTTGCTTTAACATTAGAAAATCAATCACCGTGATTCCATGCATTAATAATTAAACTAGGAAAAAAATCATAATCTCAAAATGCAGAGAAAAAGTGATACAATTCAATTTCCATGTATGTCATCTAGGGATCTGAGACAGGCATTTCCAAAAACACTAGGTCAAAAATTGCATTTAACAATGAAATGTTGTTAAGCATTCCTTTTGAGATCATGATCTACACAAGCCATTTTATAAATTTCAATATCAACTCCTCACGGTAGCTAAGACAAAGGGCATTCTCAATCAAAATCTCAACAAGATTTGAAAACTACTCAAAAAACTTCTAAGGAGAGACTCTACCGTATGATTAACAACTACTGCATAAACCACAAGGAGAAAGGGGGGAGAAAAAGAAGGGAAAGGACAGAGAAAAAAGAAAGAAAGGGGAAGACGAAGAGAAGCAGGGAGGGGAGAAACGGACAGCCAAGAAGGAAGATGAGAGCTCTCGAACTGAAATGGCAGGACCTCCCTTTTTATCACAAAAGCACATTTTCATTTCTATAGCAAATAAGATAAATTCCGTAATGCAAGGTTTTCAGAACAAACTTTTACCTCTTTGAGTAAAAGTTTCCTGTTCTTAGGTGAGTATTTTCATCCATCATCATGGGATTCTATCTTTTTTTCCCTGGCAGTGTCAGACAGGGAATAGCAATCATTGGTTCAGGAATCACCTCTACTGAAATTAAGGATAAACGGGGGGATTTATCTAGGCAAACAGAAAGCCTATTACAAAATAAATATAGCCTGACACTTTCTTAAAATATAGACCATACTTAAAGACCATACTAATACACTAAAATTGTTTTTGCTTCCTCCTTTATAAGAAGCTTGATAGAATACACTTCTGATTCCCTAAACTTTCCTACTTCGCAGGCAGGAACTACTTGCCCTTCTCTGCTATGTTTTTAGTGGAGCAGAAGCCAAATGACTGCACTGTTTACTTCCTTATTTGTCCAACAAATCATCATCAGTGAAGTCAGCGGCAAACTGAACAACCCTGGAAGGAATGTTTATTAACTAAGCGGTGTTCCAAGCCAGTTGTGGAGAGCCTAGAGCAGTACAAAAAAATATGACTTGGCTCTACATCTCAGAAGTAGATTTACTACTAATTTTCCCTAAACTTGGTTCCCTTCTAGAGCCAGAGGATAAGTCAGTTGGCTGTAGTAATCAGAGCTGTACATGACTTTAAAAGCTTTTCCCAACCACGTATACTACTAAACAGTTTTAAAACATGATGGTTTTTAGCCTAATAATTATGTAAATAGGAAGATCAAAGAAGAATTGACATCTTTGAATTGCAGTGTTGGTGAAGAATACTGAATATACCATGGACTGCCAAAAGAATGAACAAATCTGTCTTGGAAGAAGTACAACCAGAATGCTCCTTAGAAGCAAGGATGGCAAGACCAAGTCTCACATACTTTGGACATGTTATCAGGAGGAATCAGTCCCTAGAGAAGGACCTCGTGCTTGGTAAAGTAGAGGGTCAGCGAAAAAGAGGAAGACTCTCAATGAGATGGATTGACACAGCGGCTGCAACAATGGGCTGAAGCGTAACAACGATCGTGAGGATGGCGCAGGAGCAGGCAGTGTTCCGTTCTGTTGTGCACAGAGTCGCTGTGGATCTGACCCAATGACGCCTAACAACAACAACAAATTACATAAAGTTGGTTTTTCGTTTAATTTTCCCTTAAAATGATTTCAAATACCTCAAAGATAAAGATTTAAAACAAAACATAAAATTATGGTGCCTTCCTCATCCTATGATGTTAAAAAATATACAGAATTCACTCTCAGAAATGGCATGCATACATACATACTTTCACTGGTGGCATCTAATTTTTTGGTAAGAGATTATCATATTTGTTCTATCTTTTATACTCCGAAGTATACTCTATTTCAAACATACCAATCATTTATTCGTAAGCATCATCATCAATTAAATAAGCAGCAACAATGTACAAGGCTAAGAGGTAGATATGTCATTATATTTAATGCAGTAGAGCTGGAAGCAATTCATTTAAGCTAGTGTTAAATTTATAAACTCCAAGAAGGCAGTACTGTTTCTGTTTTCTTTAGTTGTAAAATACCCAGCCCAGTATCTGATAAATATGAGGACTTAATAATAGTGGATGATAATAACAGCGATAATATTAAAATATATGAGAGCAGAGCTCTGAGAGTCTATTGTTCTATTAATATCACTGTTGTTGTTAGGTGCTGTTGAGTCGATTCTGACTCATAGCGACCTTATGTACAACAGAACGAAACACTGCCCAGTCCTGCGCCATCCTCATGATCATTGTTATGCTTGAGCCCATTGTTGCAGCCACTGTGTCAATCCATCTTGTTAAGGGTCTTTCTCTTTTTCGCTGACCCTCTACTTTACCAAGCATGATGTCCTTCCCCAGGGACTGATCCCTCCTGATAACATGTCCAAAGTATGTGAGCCATAGTCTTGCCATCTTTGCTTCTAAGGAGCATTCTGGTTGTACTTCTTCCAAGACAGATTTGTTCGTTCTTTTGGCAGTCCACAGTATAGTCAATACTCTTCACCAACGCTGTAATTCAAAGGTGTCAATTCTTCTTAGGTCTTCCTTATTCATCATCCAGCTTTCCCATGCGTATGAGGCAGTTGAAAACACCATGGCTTGGGTCAGGCTCACTTTAGTCTTCACGGTGACATCTTTGCTTTTCAACACCTTAAAGAGGTCTTCTGCAGCAGATTTGCCCAATGCAAGTTAATTAATAATTAATTAATAACACTACTACTAATATAATAATAGTCTATATTCCCTTCCCTTTAAACCCATTGCTGTTGAGTCAATTCGAACTCATAGCAACCCTACAGGACAGAGTAGAACTGCCCTATAGGGTTTCCAAGGAGCGGCTAGTGGATTCGAACTGCCAACCTTTTGGTTAGCAGCCAAGCTCTTAACCAGTGTGCCACCAGGGCTCCTTTCTATAAAAAGACAGACCAAATTCATTTCCACAAGTTTTATATTTTGTACCTATTCTGTTGTCACTATGAAAGTTACTGTGGGAGATTCAAAGAAAAAACTAGGATGCCATTCTATAAGCAACAACTGTGTTCTTTTTTTAATAGAAATAACAAAACATACTATACCATAAATATCCAAAAGGGTGTTACCTTCCAAAGCAGTTATCTTGGACGATTATTTACATCTTTAAATACTTACATTTCTTTCAAAGCCAGTTACAGGCTACCCAAGAAAATCAGCAATTATGTAGCATTCATACTACACAGAACCTGTTTTCAATAACAAATCTCTTAATTCATTATAATTGCCTGCTTATAACATTTTTTGGCTATCCAACCCCCTAAAAACTATACCATTAGAAAATAAAGATCTGCTATCAACAAAAGTACTTAAAGGAATAGGCCCAGACCCTGATCATAAAGTTGACATCAAAAGACTATTTTTAACACTGCTTACTACTAGTCAATGTTAGCATTACTAAGTGCAGCAGGGTTTCTCAAGATGACAACTTTATCTTACATATGTGAGTTCAAGTATATTTCATGTTTTTCAAGTTCCATTACATTATGGACCATCTCACATGAAAGAAGTCCCTAATACAAGTAGCTAATGATCTTCACAGAATAAAAAGAAACAACACAAATACAAACAGTAATAATTGGCATAAACCTAGATTCTTTTTGAAAAACCATTTCCTGTACGTAGTTGAAATCACTCTAATAACCAAACTAAGTTTATGTGTTGATAACATACCATTTACAGCTTTCTCAATCAATTCTTCGCAAGCATCAAAATCACCCTTCAGAACCAGTTTGTCATGCAGATCTGTTAACATGGGATGTTCCAGGGCAATCTTGGTTTTCTTCTGCAGTGATTCAAAGGCCTCTGTATAATTGTGCTGTCGGAAGTGTTTTAGGCAAAGGCGAATGGCTTCCTGTTCACGGTACTACTAGAACACAGGAGAAAGTATGAAGAGAAGAGATTTGCTTAGTTGTTACTGTAGGAAATAGTAACAATAGCGATAACTAACCTAAACAGAGCATTTACTATGTGCCAAGTACACACTAACCCTATTTGTTAGGTATCATATTATTTCTAAATTATTTCTAAAAACAGAAGCTTAGCCAATTGTAATAACGTGCACAAGGTCACACGGTATGTAGCAGAGAGATGAAACCACATCTAATTCCAGAGCCTGAACTTTGGAAAGCAAACTGGCTTTTAGCAAAGCCTGCTTAAGATTCTAAAAATTATAACTCTCATGGCATCCATTAATCAGATTACAATGCTGGTACTGAAAGCATAGAAACTGTCAAACAAAATAGATTGTTTTCTGTTCTTGGTTCTCAGAAATAAGATATTATTTAAATGACAAATATTTCAAATATTTACATATTTCAAATTCACAAACAGGTTTGATGACCCAAAAATCTTCAGAAAGAGACTATTTAAATTTTATAATTTTCTTCCAAGCCTGGGTTGCCACATTTATCAAACAGCTATAAACATCTCAATTAACTAGAATCCAAAAAGTGGGAAGCTCAATTAACTGATATCTCCGCTAATGGGATGAATGCCAAAAATATAAGCTCATACAGATTTAAAAAAGCAAAACCAAAAAAAAAAAACCATTAACTTCAAGAATATATCTGGGATCCAACTGAGATAAAAAGATCATATAGAATACTATGAAAAACTGTACTCCAACAAATTTGAAGAGGAAATGGAAAAATTTCTAGAAACACACTACCTACCTAAACTAACACAATCTGATATAGAAAATCTGAACAGAACCATAACAAACGAAGAGACTGCAGAGGTAATAAAAAAAAAACTCCCAACAACAACAAAAAGCCCTGGCGTGGATAGCTTCATGGGAGAATTCTACCAAATACTCAGAGAAGAGCTCACACCAATACTACTCAAATTATTTCAGAGCATATAAAAGGAAAGAATACTCCCAAATTAATTCTATGAAGCCAGGATAATCCTGATACCAAAGCCAGGCAAAGACTCCACAAAAAAAGAAAATTATAGACCAATATCCCTGACGAACATAGATGCAAAATTCTCAACAAAATTCTAGCCAGTATAATTCAACAGCGTATCAGAGAAATAATATATCATGACCAAGTGGGATTCATACCAGGCATGCACAGACAGTTCAACATTAGAAAATCAGTCAAAATAATCCACCACACAAATAAAACAAAAGAATCACATGCTCTTCTCAGTCAATGCAGAAAGGGCATTTGATAAAGTCCAACACCCATTCCTGTTAAAAACTCTCAGCAAAATAGGAAGAGAAGGAAAATTCTTCAATATAATAAAGGGCATTTATACAAAACCAACAGCCAACATTATTCTCAATGGAGGGAGACTGAAAGCACTCCCCTTCAGAATGGGAACCAGACAAGGGTGCCCTTTATCACCACTCTTGTTCAACATTGTACTGGAAGTCCTAGCTAGAGTGATAAGGCAAGAAAAGGAAATAAAGAGCATACAAATTGGTAAGAAGAAGTAAAACTACCCCTATTCACAGACAATATGATCCTACACATAGAAAATCCCAACAATTCCACAAGAAAGCTACTGTAACTAATAGAAGAATTCAGCAAAGTAGCAGGATACAAGATCAACACACAAAAATCAGCTGGATTCCTATACAACAACAAAGAAAACTTCAAAAAGGAAATCAGGAAAGAAATATCATATACAATAGCCCCTGTAAGATAAAATACTTAGGAATAAATTTAACCAGGGACATAAAAGACCTATACAAAGAAAACTACAAAATACTACTACAAGAAACCAAAAGAGACCCACATAAATGGAAAAACATATCATGCTCATGGACAGGAAGACTCAACATTGTGACAATGTCAATACTACCCAAAGTGATCTACAGATATAATGCAATCCCAATCCAAATTCCAGCAACATTCTATACCAAGACAGAAAAACTAATCACCAACTTTACACGGAAAGGAAAGACACCTCAGACAGTAAAGCAGCATTGCAGAAGAACAAAGCAGGAGGCCTCATACTGCCTGATCTCAGAACATACCATATAGCCATGGTAGTCACAAGAGCCTGGTACTGGTACAACAACAAGACACATAGACCAATGCAACAGAATCAAGAACCTAGACATAAATTCATCCACCTATAGGGTCGCTATGAGTCGGAATCAACTCAACGTCAACAGGTATATGGGTATGGTCAGCTGATCTTTGACAAAGGACCAAAGTCTATAAAATGGATAAAAGATAGTCTCTGTAACAAATGGTGCTGGCAAAACTGGATGTCCAACTGTAAAAAAAATGGAACAGGACCCATACCTTTACAGCATACACAAAAACTAACTCAAAATGGATCAAATACCTAAAAAAAACCTAAAATGATACAGATCATGGAAGACGCTAGGGGCCTAATCCAAAACTTGTTGCCATCAAGTCGATTCTGACTCATAGTGACCCTGTAGGGCAGAGTAGAACTGTCCCATAGGGTTTCCAAGGAGTGGCTGGTGGATTCGAACTGCCTATCTTTCGGTTAGTAGCCTGAGCTCTTAACCTCTGTGCCACCAGGACTTCAGGGGCCCTAATACATGGCATGAATTAAATACAAACCATAACTAACAATACACAAACACTAAACACTTTTGTTCATCAAAAGAGTAAAAAGAGATCCTACAGAACTGGGAAAAATCTGGAGCTACGAAATATTTGATAAGCGACTACTCTAAAATTTATAGAAAACTTCAACATTTCAACAATAAAAAGACAAACAATCCAATTAAAAAATGGGCAAAAGATATGAATAGACACTTCATCAAAGAAGACATTCAGGTGGCTAACAAACATATGAAGTGTTTACACTCATTAGCTATTAGAGAGATGCAAATCAAAACTACAATGAGATACCATCTCATCCCGACATTACTGGCACTAATCAAAAAACCAGAAAATACCAAACGTTGGTGAGGTTGTGGCGGGACTGAAACTCTTGTACACTGCTGGTGGGAATGTAAAATGACACACAACCACTTTGGAAAACAGTATGGCACTTCCTCAAAAAGCCAGAAACAGAAGTACCATATGATCTAGCAATTCACTCTTAGGTATATACCCTAAAGAAATAAGAGTCGTGACACGAATAAACAGATGTACACCATGTTCACTGCAGCATTAGTCACAATAGATAGAAGATAGAAACAACCTAAGTGTCCATCAGTGGATGAAAGGATTAACAAACTGTGGTACATACACACAATGGAATACTATGCAACAATAAAGAATAATGATGTATCCCCAAAACATCTCACAACATGGATGAATTTGGTGGACATTATGCTGAGTGAAATAAGCCAATCACAAACGGACAAATTTTGTATAAGACCACTACTATAAAATAACAACAAAAGGTTTACACACAGGAAAAAAAGAAAAAAATTTCTTTGATGGTTACCAGGGATAGGAGGGAGATGGAGGGAAAATCACCGATCAGCTAGAAGACATGAGTTAATACTGGTGAAGGGAAAGACAATACATTATATGGGGGAAGTACAACATGACCAAGGCAAGAGAGGACTTGGAGAGGAACATAAGAATAAAGGGCAACTACAGTAACTACCATAGCTTAGACAATCCTGCAGCAATAGTGATGACAAACAATAATTTACAAATGGTCAAGTAGGTAGATAGACAGTCAAGAGGTGTGGGAGGATGTTAGGGAACACACTCACCAGCAGCTACAGGTTTTGTGGTAGATATTTCTAGATACATGATTGTCGGTTCGGCTCATATAGAACACACAAAGGGGTAAAGTCAGGGAAACCTCTTAGACATAACCAAATACGTCACAGGATGAAGCTCCTAGGCTAGAAGACAAAGGACCATAGACTGGAGGGACATCTACATCAATTGGCACTAACACAGTATATAAAGTTAATGTTCTGCATTCTCCTTTGTTGCATAGTGTCTCGGGTTTTAAAAGCTTGTGAGCAGACATCTAAGACACAACTACGGGTCTCTTCCCATGCGGAGTGAGGGAGAGTTAAAGAAACCAAAGACCCAAGGGAGCAGGTAGTCCAAAGGACTAACCAACCACATGAACCACAGCCTACACTATCCCAAGTCCAGAAGAACTAGATAGTGCCCGGCTACCACTACCAACTGCTCTGACTGGGATTACAACAGAGGGTCCTGGACAGAACAGGAGAAAATTGTAAAACTAACAGAAAAAAGAAACTCACAAAAAAGATGGGGCTTCCTGGTCTGACAGGGACTGGGGGAATCCCCATGACTATGGGCCTAAGACACCCTTCTGACCTGGAAATGAAGCCATTCCTGGAGACCACCTCCCAGCCAAACAACAGACAAGCACATAAGATAAACAGTAACACCTGAGAGGGACATACTCCTTAGAACAATCAATTATAAGATGAGAAGGCTAGAAGGGGTAGATAATCAAGGCAAAAGAAAATGGGGAAAGAGGGCAGAAATGCGGAGGGTGCTGACACATTGTGGGGAATGAAATTAAGGTCATGAAACACTGTATGTACAAACTATCAAATGGGAAACTAATTTTCTCCGTAAACTTTCACCTAAAGCACGCACACGAAAAGAGTATCTCTGGGATTAGCTCAAATTTTCTAAGAATACCACTGTAAAATAAGAATTAACAAAACAAACTGACGACACAAAGCACTACGTGATAATCACACAACAAGTAATGATTTACTTATAAGCATTACTCTTTAATAAAGCAAGAAAATAAAGTAGTATCTTTTAGGAAGATTACAAGACTTAAAACACAAACGGATTTAATGTTAGCTGTATTTTTGACTAATAAAAGGTTATCAAAGCAACTATTTCTTAAGCACTATAATTACCTAAGATTTAACCTCATCAAGTAACCAAAGAATGATTCTCTATCCAAACTAACTTTATAGTTTCTTACCCTTGGCCTCTGAATAAAGATTCAGCATAGCTATGGATACATAGTAGGAGAGGAGTTATGCAATAACTGAATTTTAATGCTTCAAAAAAAGACTCAAAATCAAAGAGGGCAAAGACTTTATCTAATTTTAGAGGTCCATAATAAATACAGGAAGCCCTGGTGGCACAGTGGTTAAGCTCTTGGCTACTAACCAAAAGGTCAGCAGTTCGAATCCACCAGCTGCTTCTTGGAAACCCTTTCAGGCAATTCTACTCTGTCCTATAGGGTTACTATGAGTCAGAATCGACTAGACGGCAATGGGTTTGTTTGGTTTTTAGTAAATACAGAGAAGGTCAAAGGTGAAAGGAGTGAACAAGTTCTCAAATATAATCTCTCCACAATGTTGGGGAAAAGAGGTGAAACTTGCAACTTCCCACAATATCAAGAAATAATTGTGAGTGTATTAACGAAAGCATACACAGACGTCATAAACTAGAGGGGAAATTTTATTCAAGTACTACAGAAGTTTAATCATTAATTTTATTAAAGGCGCAGTAGAAGTTAGAAGATTTTAAGTATAAATTAAGCATCTGGTATGTGTGTAACACTATAAAGGTGATCTTTAAAAATCTACAATATTATAAGAAAAACAAGAAATAATGAAACTGAAAATACTGAGTCACATCTAATTATTTTAAATTAAATATAACAAAATGCCAGAATTAAATGAATCAAACATAAAGTTCCTTAATTAAGCTGATCAGAAGAGAGCTTCAGAAAAGCAGCTCAGAAAAGTTATATTGCTTCCCAATCTCCTATGAGTATATTGGTTCGCTCTATTTGCAAGTAAATCAGGATGTGGTGTTTCAACTAAAGCTATATTACCCCCTCGACAAGGAAGGGGCCCCCCAAAACAAAAACATAAATAAAGTCAAAAGCAAGAGTCAAATAAATATATATCACAAACCAAAAAAGTTTTCAAAATCATCCCAAAAACTATTGATCAACAACTTAAACACATTTTTCAGGCTGTATCTACTGAATAAAATGACCTATAAATAAAATTATTAAATATCATTTTTATACCTCCTATAGACACAAAAATGTCTATTTCAAAGCCTAGATCTTTACAGGGAAAAATAAATATTCTTATTTTACTAAACATACACACACAGTGGAGGAATGTATTATAAAAGCAATTTAGAACTAAAACTGTCCCACTAAAAACTATGTTAAAGTATTTATATCAATAAAGGTTAAAAATAAAGTTTATGGTGAGATGGTTATAATATTACAGTGGCAGACTCTGGAGCCAGACTGCCTGAGTTCTTAATAGCTTGAGCACTTTATAACTGTGTGACCTTGGATAAAATACTTAACCTCTCTGTGCTCCATTTCCTCAACTGTAAAATAGGGTAATAACCGTACCTATGTCATAATGTGGTAACAATTAAATGAGTTATAAAGATTGCTTAGAAGCTAGCAGACTCTAAATTTTTAATAAATATTAGTTATCTTATTGTTAAAATATTATTAATATTCTCCATATCTTTAATTATTTCCAATGAAGACAAGAGATTGATGTAATTCTCCCTTTATAGGCATTAGAAACATAAAATCCAGATTTTAAAATACAGTCCTACCTTGCTATACCAGTTGAGACAGGGTTGTACTACATCAGGATCATCAATGCCACTAAGTTCAACATACCAGATGCTAAAGTTAAAGCTGGGTCCCCAGGACAAGAGTGGAACTTGGAGGAGAAAGGGGGAAAAAGGAAGAAAAAAATTAACATATATAGTCCAAATAAAACTTTAGCAAACTAAAATCACTATTCAAGCCTATCATAATTCACTCAACAGGTTTTCTGAGCCCTTTCTATACGCCTCACACTGTGTTAAGTGCTGGAACTACAGAAGCAAAAAGGAACATATGACTCACGCCATCATGATGTTTCTATAGCGAGAACGTAAGACAAATCAAAGTGGTTACATATCTACCCCTCCCCCAAAACATGACCAGGACTTTACCAAACCTACATGAAAAAGATAATTACTATATAATTTAAACTAAATCAGAGCACGGAAAGAGAACTGAAAGTTCAATTACTTATCAAAGTGGCATAACCCTGAAAACCAGAAGATAAAGGATTTAAGGCCAATCTAGCTATGAATACATACTCAGAATTCCAGGGGAAAAAAAAAAATAATTATCAGGTTTTCACTGTGACCAAAGAGAGCTCACCCCAAGAATGGAAGGACAGTTAGATAATAGGAAATATATTAATGTAATTCACCACCTTAACTGAGTAAAAAAGAAAACCTATTTGCATTTGATTTTATCAGCAGACGCTAAAAATAAATTAATAAAATATACTTTCTATTCATTGAAGAAACAGAAGACAGAGGTCTCTGTCCCCAGGGATTTCAGCTGAGGAAACAATACTTACATACATCACATATAAAAGAACTCAACTTCTGGAAGTAGATAGGCTCACGTTTATATCCCATCTCTACTTTTTACTACCTGCATGATCTTGGGCAAGTCATTTAACCTCTAATCTGCAGCTTCCTAATCTGTAAAGTGAGTGTAATAATGCCTATCTCACAGAATGTTATGGGAATTTAACAAGATAATATGTTTTAAATGCCCAGCTTAGTGCCAGGCAAACAGCAGCTGCTTTTATACATAGTACCTATTGTTATTATTACTTTAAAACAAGTACATAGCCAAATGTGTTACGCATATACCAACTGCTATGTCCCTAATTCATCACTTACTAGTTATGCAGCCAGGAAGAAGTCATTAGACTCCTATCCTCAGTTTCCTCAACTAAAAAGAGAAAGGTTTTATCTGCTACTATGCAGCATAAATGAGATAGCACATGAGAAAGCACTCACAAAACTATCAAAAACTGTAAAAAGATAATAGAACTACTATGTTATCCGGAAGGTAAGTTCTAAATAATGATTAGTAAAATAACATGATGATTCAAATTTTATTTTTGCATATTTTTTTCTCTAGTACCTAAAAACCTACATGTTAAGAAGGCATGTAAACAAGGGCTTTATGAAAAAAATAGTAAGTACAAAAATACTTATTTCAAAACCTAACCCCTATATAATTTTGCAACAACAACCAAAAAATACATGTGTGGCTACATATCTATGTATGTATGCATATATGTGTACAGGTATGTATGTGTATACACATACACATATATACATGTAGCTATATGTATATACCTTTGTTTATACGAATGTATGTTCATATATATAATAAAGCACATGTGGGCACAGTTAACAAATACTTCTTAGACATAACCAAACACTTTGCAGGATTGTTTTTCTGGGTTTGAAGGCTGAGGACCATAGTCTCATGGGACAACTCAGTCAACTGGCAGAACACAGTTCACGAAGTTTATGCTCTACATCCTAGTTTGGTGAGTAGCATCTGGGGTCTTAAAAGTTTGTGAGTGGCCATTTAAGATACAACTACCAGTGTCTTTTAGTCCAGACCGAAAAAGAAAGAAGGAAACCAAAGACTCAGTAAAGAAACTAGTCTATAGGGCTAACAGTCTATACCAGCCACGGCCACATCTACCCTGAGGCCAGAAGTAGGTGGTGCTCAGCTATCACTAAAGGCCATTCCGATCAGGGCCACAATAGATCAACCCTGACAGAAGGTGAGAAAAATGTGGAACAGAATTTAAGTTCTTAAAAGATTCAGACTTACTAGACTGGTTGAAACTAGAGGACTCCTGGAGACTATCACCTTGAGATACCCCATAAACTTTGAACCGAAACCACCCCTTGATATCACCTTTTAGCTAAGTAATAGATTGGCTCATAAAATAGAGAACATTACCAGTGAGTGTGGAGCTCTGGTAGCATAGTGGTTAAGAGCTATGGCTGCTAACCAAAAGGTCAGCAGTTCAAATCCACTAGCTGCTCCTTGGAAACGCTTCAAACACAGCACTGTAGAATATAAATGTGGAGTGTTCAAATACATTTTTTCCTTTTAAGAATTCGAACAATGTATTCTAACCAGGTGAACAAATATCTATGCTAGATCACCAGTTCTACCCTGTCCTATAGGGTTTCTATGAGTTGGAATCAACTGGAGAGCAGTGGGTTTTTTTTTTTTTTTTTGGTTACCAGTGAGTACTGCACACCTTTAAAAAATCATCTATATGAGACCACATGGTCAACATTACTCTAAAAGCAAAGAAGAAAGGGTAAGGGGACAGGGAAACTAGATGACTGGAAGTGAAACATCCAGAGGGAATTAATGAGAATGTTAACACATTGTGAAAAATTAAACCAATGTACCTGAACAATCTGTGTAGTAATCGTTAAAATGGGAATTTAATTTGCTGTATAAACTTTCACTGAAAACACATTTTTTTTTTTGGGTTTATTTTCCCTGTTAACCATTTGTGGTAAAACTTACCGTAATTTGGCTTAAACAAAAATTTAACGAATAGACTACATCTACTAAAAGATTATTATATCTAGATGTCAATGCAGGATATGGGAATTATCTGCCATGCTTCTGTTCCCCTCCATTACTGTGGATAACTGATGTCTGAAGAGATTGAAAAATTGTGTTGAGGATAAAATTGTTTTTCAACAGAGCATCTTTCAAACACAGCACTGTAGAATATAAATGTGGAGTGTTCAAATACATTTTTTCCTTTTAAGAATTTGAACAATGTATTCTAACCAGGTGAACAAATATCTATGCTAGATCACCACAAGAAAGAGCTAGATATTACAGAGACTAAGACTCAAGTCCTTTTATCAGAATGATTCCTTTTAGAAAGTTACGGTGATTAACTAAAAATACTAACCTAAAAACAAAGCAGCATTAGTAATACACAGAATTTATTTTCACATTTTCCTTATATTATCTCAAAGAACACTTCTCAAGAGAATGTTGAAAAAGGGTTGGAAAGCAAATACACCGCAGACCAGTATTAACATCTGTTAACAGAAAAGTGAGAAATATGAAGTTATCTAAATATAAAGTATCCTCAATATCAAATGGATTAATAAGTGTTTACAACTATTTGGAAAGCTCCAATTAACATTTTGCCTGAATACCTACCATAAAATTAACCCAGGGTCAAGTAAAAGACACATCAGTATGCCCTGTAATTAAAAGCTGAGAGAAATAAAATACAAGAAGGACTAGAAAGAGGTCTAATTTCCTGTCTTCTGGCAGCTGAATGTCTAATTGATTCATAAAAGATCCCTGTTCTATACTCATAAATTTTCAAAGAAAGAAACTATGTAACTTCCCTAAACAGATCTTTATTCATATTTCTTCCAATGAATATTACTAGAAGAATAAGAACTTTAGAGGGACTTAGACTAGATCTTTTCCTTCTTTTAGGAAACTAAATTTGAATAAATCCTTGCAGACACTGTACAATCTAAAGTTATTATATGAAAATGTAAGGTATTTTGACTATTTACATATATGAAATATAACATCATGGAATTGTTAAAGTTATGCAAAGGTCTTTAGGAATTAGGTGGTCTAAACACTGAAAAAAGATTTACTCACTAATATAAAAGTATAACCAAGAGTTAAATTTATCAAAACATTTGCTTATTCACAAAATCTCACAAGGAACTAGGACACAGATTTTTATTTACAATTATCGATAACAACAGACATTGCAGTTACAAAAGCAAATAAAATACTGGACAGCCCAACTATTCAAAAAATAGGTTTTCCTCTGTAAGTAGTCTTTACTAAGACTTTAGATACTCCTTTTGCCCAATAGAACTATTTGGCTCAATGAAATGAACAGGCCAATTCATGGTAGATGGGCAAACAATGACTATGAAGAACACTGCTTGTTCCAAAACAGAAATTTTTCTTCCAAATAAAAATATATGATTCTGGCTTTTATTATTATTCTTTGAGGGATCTAATTCACTTTCACGGGAGAAAAGATCTGGTGATCTGCTCCAGTAAAGATTATAGCCTAGGAAACCCTATGGGGCAGTTCTACTCTGTCCTATAGGGTTGCTATGAGTCAGAATCGACTCGAGGGCACACAACAACAACAATTCATTTTAATCCTGACTTTAACATATATTTTCAAAGGTATGCAATATAAATGAAAACTAAAAGATTCAATTCCTCAACTTTCCTACCTTCTAAATAATAAATCCAAAAGTAAAACAAAATAACCCCCAAAATACTAATTTTGAGGAGGCATTACAAATACTTTCCTAAGTTAAAACACTTGCTAAATTAATACACACCTGCAGATAATATTTTTCAAACAGTGAATTTGCAACATATTAGTGGATCATGAAATCAGTGTAAAGAGTTTGACCAGCATTTAACTAAGAAATGAAACAGAAAAGAACAGAATAAAAAATAACAATAATTCACCCCATGTAGTAAGGGTAGGTACTGTTCCATAAAACTTTTGTTACGGTTGTGTGTATGTGGTATGTGTGTACACACTGTGTTGTGATGTAAAACGTTTATGTTATTTTACTAGGGGTCACAATCAAAAAAAGCTTGATATACATTGCCTTAAGGGATTCATCAGTATTTGGTTTTAAAATGTTACAGCTTTAGAACTGATAAACCTTCCATAAAACTATCCTGGCAATCGAATCACCACACCCCGTAAAATCTTCTAAGAACTTTCAAATGAGAAATATTCGGAAAAAGTTGAAGTACTTGTCATTTAGTAGTAAAAAATAGTTGTCATTTAGTAATAGTTTTATAAAGCAGGGCTCAACAAACTTTTCTGTTAACAGGCCAAACAGTAAATATATTGGGTTTTGTGGGCCATGCAGTCTCTGTTGCAACCACATACTCAACTCTACTAAAACAGATATAGACAATATGTAAATAAGTGGGTGCGGCTGTGTTCAAATAAAATATTATTTATAAAAACAGGCAGCCACATAGAACTACCATTATGATCCAGCAATTCCAATTCTAGGTATATATACCCGAAAAGACCTGAAGGCAGTGATGAGAACAGACATGTACATCAGTGTTCACTGCAGCACTACTCACAATAGCCAAGAGGTGGAAACAACCAAAATGCCCACCGACTGACAAATGACTACGCAAAATGTGGCATATACATACAATGGATTATTACTCAGCTATAAAGAAGAATGTGGTCCTGATGCATGCCACAACATGGATAAATCTAGAAGACATTATGCTGAGTGAAATAAGTCAGTCACGAAAGGACAAATACCATATGATATCACTTATATGAAATAAGCAAATATATAGAAACCAAAAGTAATCAGTGGTTATCAGGGGCGGGAGGGAGAGAGAAACAGTGGGCTTATGCTTAGAGCACACTGAATGTATATTAATGGTGGTGGGATAATTTGGAAAAAGAGGGAAAACAGCTGCACAACTTAAATAATGTAATCAATGTTACTGATGCATACATGTAGAAATTGATGAAATATTTTTTGTGTTCTTATATTTCACTATTTAAAAAAAAAAAAAAAGAACAGGCAGCCTACAGGATTTGGTCCACGAGCTGCAGTTTGCTGACTGCTAGTATAAAAAATCTGTTTCTACTGCAGAATGCTAAACCCCTTACCTATTTTAATGAATCGACAAGGGAACATCTGTTCATCAATTTTATGCTTCAAGGTGAATGTTTCCTTGTTATAATCATTCTTTAAGCCACTGTGAGGAATAATAATAATAAGGTTAGCAAATCTGACTCCATAATATAGTAAACACACTGAAACATAGATTAATGTCATACTCACATTTTAAATTTAAACCTATGTTCAAAATAAATGACTAAAACTATATAAATGAATAGTTAAAACATAAGAATATCGGTCAGGAATTGTACATTCTAATCAACTGTATTATAACTGTATTCTCTTAGTTATATAAGGGCTAATAGTAAATGCTCAGCATAAAATGTTCAATATAAACTACAGAGTATAGAAATGTGTGACAGAACCTATTTTCCTTAAATGTATAACTGAATATAACACAAAATTTCAAGCAGGAAAAACAACACACACTCATATCTCACACTTACAGAATTAAATATTAGAATTTTTCAAAAAATTAAATTATTCAATTTTGATTGAGATGCCAGTGTTCGTTATAGTTCAAATTTTCATTGATAACTTTACTTTGTTGCTTTAAATCCCTCTTTAAATAAAAAATAAATCACCTCTCTACCTAAACAATTAGGATGGAAGCAAGGCTCCATAGGGAAGTTGTAACTTCAGGTTGCCTTATGTCCTGAAATACTTTCATGACTTAAATCAAATGCATTCAGAACTAATAATTACTTACAGAAAGTAACATGTAAGTGGGACATACCATGTCACAAATACATTCTAAATATTCACGGTTTTATTTGCCCATTGCATTGGCTAGTCATTATCAGGGGGAGGAGGGGTATAAAAATTAACACCTTCATTCTTGGTGGTTTAGGTTTTTAAAACTCATATTTACTGAACTCCTTCCAAGTGGCAGGCACTGTACTTGCTAGGTGCAGTCACATATTTTTCATTTACAGAACCTTCCTCTTTTTATCCTCTAGGTTAAAGTAACTCCCAGAATATTACTTCTGATTTAGGACAATCAATTGTCATTTTTTTGACAGAGCCTATTTTTTTAATAACAAATATTTTGTTTAAAGCTGAAACAATTTCTGAAGTCATAAACAGTTCAAAAATAAGACTAAAAGAGAAGTAGGAAATTTTTTTTTGATTCTTTCTTACTTAGTAATTTATTTCACCAGAAGGTGAAATAAAGACATTTTCAGAAATTTAAAGGCTGAAAGGATTTATCACCAGAAAACCCACACTATAAGAAATGTTAAAGGAATACCTTCGGGCAGAGGCAACCAACATAGAGCTAGGTTCCAAGAGACCAAGACTGCAGTTGGTTTAGACAGACGATAACACTTTCTTCCCCATAATCATAACTCACCTAGACAACAATTCTGTCATATTTTCTTCATTCATTCCACCAAAGACTTTAAATTTCTTCAAATTGCAGACATGAGTTTTCTCATATTTTCCAAATGTGATATTCTGGACTATAGCAGGCCTTTCAAGCTTCAGAATCAAGTACTAAAAAATACAAACAAATGACATTATCCTCTGTTACAAAAATATACTTAAAATACTTCGAGAATTGAAACTTTTGACAGTTAACAAGAATATACAAGGTCCAGTCTGCCCATCCTGTGCTGGCAGGTTTTTTTTTGTTTTTGTTTGTTTGTTTTATGCTAAAGAATAGTAAGCAACAGCCTTGTATAGGCCACCACTTTTTACTCCAGTAGATTCTGGGAAAATATATCATCCTAAACACTGTAAAAAAAGGAAAAGGCTAGTGAGATAACTTCCAATCAAGGAACAATAAGCAATAAAAAATATAACCAGATTATGAATAACCAAATATAACAAGATATGAATGCAAAAGTAATAATTACACTTTTCCATGGACTACATTTCAAGAGCGAAATCAATGTTTGCTACCAGTGATTAACATTTTAGATCTAGCAGCTAAAGAATCAGCTCTGCTAACTTTACAAGTGAGAAAATGCAGACCTACTATTGATCTTGCTAATGTAGCTTAAGTTTTCCTATCACAAACTAGATAAAATAGGATTAGTTAGTCAGGGAACACATTTTACATTATACTGACTGTTTTCAATTATAAAAATTAAGGAGGAAACTACCACTGATTGAATAAATGGAAAGAAAACCTATTCAGAATAATGTTTTGTCTGAGTGGCTTCATGTGTTATGATAATGGGTAACACAGGTGATAAGAATGAAGCTGGTGGTCCAATCTCACACCATATACAAAAATTAAACCAAAACGGATAAAAGAACTAAATCTAAGAGCGAACTATAAAACTAACAAGAAAACATAGCAGTAAACCTTCATCAACTTGGACTTCGCAATGGATTCTTTGATATGATACCAAAAGCACAAGCAACAAAAGAAGAAATAGATAAACTGGACTTCATCAAAATTAAAAACTTTTGAGCTTTAAAGAACATAACAGAACTGTTAGACAACCTACAGAATGGGAGATAATATTTGCAAATAATGTATCTGATAATAGTCTAGTACAAAGAACTCTCACAACTCAACAACAAAAAGACAAATAACCCAATTAAAAAATGGGCAAAGGATCTGAATAGATATTTCTCAAAAGAAGACACATAAAAGGCTATCAAGAACATGGAAAGATGCTCAATATCATTAGTCATTAAGGAAATGCAAATCAAAACCACAATGAGATACCATTTCACACCCACTAGAATGGCTATAATTAAAGAAACAAAAACAAAACAAGTGTGGACAAGGATATGGAGAAATTGGAACCCTCATACATTCTGGTGGTGGAAAAGTGGGACAGTTCCTCATAAAGTTAAACACAGAATTACCATATAACCCATTAAGTATAGATGCCACCTCTCCCTCTGTCTCTTTCCTATTTGAAAAGTTACAGCTGCAACAAGCATTGTGCAATAATGAAAAGGTCAAGAGAACCTCAGAGGTAACAGCTATCTGTATGTAAGCCACTGAATATTCACCAGCAGCTGCCCACCTCCAATTTTCTTATTGGGGAATGCAGAGGGGGAGGGACAGAGAAGTTGGACAATAACAACAACAGCAAAAATCCACCTATTTGTTTCAGCCACTGTTGTAGGATTTTCTATTATTTGGAGCTAAAAGCATTCCTACTAAGTCACTGACCCAAGCTAATGCTTTAACCACTACCATTTACATTCTAACTAGCTATTTAAATTTCTTCATTATAAAAATTGCCACAGGAAAACTGAGATTGATATTCTCTAGTCATTAGTGCGGAGCCCTGGTGGCGCAGTAGTTAAGTGCTCAGCTGTGAACCAAAAGGTCTGCAGCTTGAATTCACCAGCTGCTCCTTGGAAAGCCTATGGGGCAGTTCCACTCTGTCCTATAGGGTCACTGTGAGTTGCAATTGACTCATTGGCAGCAGGTCTGGTTTGGTTGGTTAGTCATTAGTCCTCTTTATCATCATCAAACAAACAGGTGTGGTAATGTAATTTTTTTGTCATTCTAAGTTTCTTAAGAATACAGCTGTATAACAGAAGAGAACAGATTATACAGACAGATAAGGAAATAGTCCCATTTCATTAACTCAGAGTCCCTCATATCCCCTTTGTCCTTTTTCCTCTCACTCTTTGTTATTGTTGTTGTCAGATGTCTTCAAGTGATTCTGACTCATGGCAACCCCATGTGTGCACAGTAGAACTGCTCCAAGGTTTTCAAGGCTATGACCTTTTGGAAGCAGATTGCCAGGCCTGTCTTCCTAGGTGCCTCTGGACAGGTTCAAACTGCCAATCTTCTGGTCAAGCGCTTAACCATTTGTACCACCCAGGGACTCCTTCTCATTCTCTAGTTATCCTTTAAAGTTTAGGTTTAGATGTCAGCTTTCCCTGACAATTGGTTAGGTATACTGTTGTAACTAGTTAAAATGGGCCCTCATGCAATCTGTTGTACACCATCCACCACCCTATATACTACAGCCCTACATCTAATAAAAAGCATTCATTCATATACATATAATTTTATTAATAATCAAGTAGGATTTTTGTTATTAAAAAGTTACACCTGTTATTTTCCATTTTGTTTTTGTTTTCTATCATCACCATTCTAGTGGGGGTGAGGTGGTATCTCACTGTGGTTTTGATTTGCATCTCCCTAATGATTCCTGATGTACAGCATCTTTTCATGTGCTTGTTGGTCATTTGTATATCCTCTTTGGGGAAATATCTACTCAAGTCCTTTGACTATTTTTCAACTGGGTTGTTTGTTCGTTTTTTGTTGTTAAGCTGTACGAGTTCTCTATATAGTCTGAATATTAAACCCTTATCAGATACATGGTTTCCCAAAATTTTCTCCCAATTTGTAGGATGTCTCTTCATTTTGTTGATAAAGTCTTTTGATGAACAAAAGCTTTAAATTTGTGAGCTCCCATTTATCTATTTTGTCTTTTGCTGCTCCTGCTTTTGGTGTCAGACATATCTAAGAATTCATTATTAAAAACTAAGTCCCAAGGCATTATCCTATGTGTTCTTCTAAGACTTTTATGGTTTTCGTTCTCACTGTAGGTCTTTGATCCATTTTGAATTTGTTTCTGTACATGGTGTGAGGTCTGGATTCAGCTTCATTCTTTTGCATGTGGAAATCCAGTTTTTGAAGCACCAATTATTAAAGAAATTCTTCCTTCCCAACTGAATGGACTTAGCACCCTTGTTGAAAATCAACTGACCATAGATGTATGGGTTTATTTCTTGACTCAGTTCTACTCCATTGGTATACATGTCCATCATTATACCACTACCAGGCTGTTTTGATTATTGTAGCTTTATGTTTTGAAATCAGGAAGTTTGAGTCCTCCTACTTTATTCTTCTTTTTCAAGATTGCTTTGGCTAGTCAGGGCCCCCCTGCTGTTCCATACAAATTCAAGGACTGCCGTTTCCACTTCTGCGAAGAAGGTTGTTGAAATTTTGATGGGAATTGCATTGAACTTACAGATTGTTTTGGGTCATATCGACATCTTAACAATATTAAGCCTTCTAATTCATGAACACAAAATGTTTTTCCATTTATTTAGGTCTTCTTTAATTTCTTTTAGTAATGTTTTATAGTTTTCAGATGGTTCTTTTTTATAGTTTTCAGCTGGTTCTTTTTAATAGTTTTCAGTTCTCTGACAAAATTTTCAATATTAATTTTTATCTCCTTTTTTCCTTTAATATAGCAAGAACACACTTTAAAATCTGTATCTAAAACTCCATTATCACCCTGGACACTCTTTTAACTCAATACTGAAGTTACTCCTGAAGTTCACCCTTCAGCCAAAGATTAGACAGGCCTATAAAACAAACAATAACACACATAGTTCAACCACGTATATGAGACCAGCCCAAAAGCAAAGACAAGAAGACAGGAAGGGACAGGAAAACTTGACCAATGGAAATAAGGAAACTGAGGTCGAGAAGGGGAGAATGTCAGGAATGACAACCAATGTCACAAAACAATCTGTGTATTAATTGTTTAATGAGAAACTAACTTGCTCTATTAACTTTCACCTAAAGTACAATAAATAAATAAAACTCCATTATCTGGAAAACCTGCTATTTTTGGTAGACACCAAATACAAAAAAACTAAAAACTAGATGTCTAGGATATTAGCTTCCTCCAGAGAAGTATATCTACTTCAGGTAGACTGCTAGGGACACTAACAATTCTGGATTATTTTCATTCAATCTCATGGACTAAGATAATATCAAACTGGGCTGCAGTTCCTGGGGGGACCAGAATATTTCTGGTTTACCTGCAGCCCTCAGACACAGACCTTCAGGGTCCTAACCTTAAGTTGGAAAGTCTATTACCCACCACATCCCAGACTCTGGCTTCCAAATCTTTATCACCCTGGCCCCAAGAGGTTGTCAGAGGGGCTGTTCAGCTTCTCAATCTCTTAGCCCCTCTTTAGGTATCAACAGATATCCAGTAGAAAAATGGCCCCAAAAGTTGCTCCTCTCTGAGTTTCCACATTCTTCAGAATTTTGACTCCATCATTCTTTCCTACCTTCAAAAATAGTTTTTTGTTTCTATTTCATCCAGCTTTTCTATCTGTCCCTAGTGGGAGGAATGGTCAAATTAACTTTGGTTACTATATTTCTCATTTATAGAAGTTCTATTTGGTTCTTTTTAAACTCTGCTAGGTCACTTGTTATAAAAGTTTGCTATTCGTTGCAGATACATTTTATTTCTTTAAACATGGTAAGAATTGTTTTAATTCCAGTATCTTTTAGTTCTTTGAATTCCATTAGCTAAAATTTCTGCAGTTTCTACTATCTATTTTTTTTGGCTAAATCTTACTTATGGTGCTTCGTTTCCTGGTGTGCTTGGTTAGCTTTGATGAGGTACTGCTCATTTTCCTCGAAAAATTACATGTAGAGATTACCCGAGGCCTACAGGTTAAAGTAATTATCTCCAGAAAGGATCTGTATTTGCTTCTGATGGGAACCTTTAGGGCACCACTAGATCATGGTCTTGACACTATCTAAGTATACTATTTCAGTAGCATAACAATATTTTTATTGTTTATTTTTCCCTAAAAGACAGTCATTGAGTCACTGAGCAAAAGTTCGATCTACTCACATTTCCTTAAACATTTACAGAAGGACTTGCATGGAAGTATTGTAGAGGTCACAACCTCTGCTCAGATCAGAACAGTAACAGCATCCTAACCACTTCTTAGTTAACATTTTCCTCAAATGATATTAAGAAATTTACTTCTGCATTATTAGTAATTCATAAAAAATACAAATCAGATTTTAAATGTTCCTGTATGCCGAAGTAAAAAGTCTGTAGTTCATCAAATCCCACAATGCATTTGCCTATGAAATAAAAATTCTTCCAAATTTAAATTAAGGAAATAAAAATTTACCTCACAATCTCAAAGGCTGAATAAATTATTAATGGATTCCAGATAAACGATATCAAGAGATGACAGATAGACACTCATATTGATTAAGTGGCTATTTGAATATTTGCTTCTAAATGGCATCTAAGGGCTACATGTAATCTTACCTGGGGAGGATAGTTGCTCTCTGAAGACCATCTTGAAGATTGGTCATTTGGTTTATCCACTAAAATGTTTCTAAAATAAAGAAAAGGAAATTGTAGCAATGAATTTTAATAGTAAGAATAAGTGAGTACAAATAGGCAAAAAGAATAATCTATCATATGATTAAATTATCATTAAGTCACATGATGTTTAGAACCTGAACAGGAAGAGAAAATGAAACAGAACAAGCACCACAGAAAGTCTCTAGTATATGTAATATTTTAAAATATAATAAAGGCGACATTTCAAACAGTGAAGAAAACTCAAGAGTTTTCATAAAGCAACTTAAAAAAAAGGACGGAGTTCTACTTCACACTAACTGTCAAAATAAACTGTAGATGTGTTTACGGGTAAGAATGGTTGCACAACTCAAAGAATGTAATCAGTGTCAATGAATTGTATACGCAGAAACAGTTGAACTGGTGTATATTTTGCTGTATATATTCTCAACAACAATAACAAAATAAAATTAAAAAAAAAACAAACAAAAAACATAATGATACCAAGATCCTAGGAAATATGGATGGGCACTGACCACACCAGCATGGTAGATTGTTGTTGTTATATTCTACTTCTGTAAAAACAAACACGTAAGCCCTATGCTATAATAGGAAGAAAAAAAAAGAACATAACCAATGGCACTGAACAATATGTGTAGAAATGGTTAAATGGAAACATGTATTGCTGTGTACACTTTCACCAAAAAATATAATATTATCTGAAAAAAGAGTTAAAGGTAAAAACAAAATAATAAAATACCTAACAATAAATAAAATACTACATTATGTATTATATATTATACATTATATTATTACATTACATATAATTATGTTGTTATATTAATGTGATACATGTTTGTGTATGTTATACATGTTTATATACAATAGATTATATATGTGTATAATACACATATATAATCAATCTTCAGATCAAGAAGAACTTTTAAGCATAGCATCAAACCCACAACTCTGGCGAGAAAGGAGCTAATGTAAGTAACTTTGGAAGATGGTACTTAAAACTGTAAGGTTAAACAGACAAATAGAACTATACATAAAGGCTGTATTTTATTTGGTAAAGTTATCTTTCATAGGGATATGGGTTAATTCTGAAATACTTTACATGTATACTGGGGTTGAACAACTAAGTAAATGGATGATAGATGGTAGTAGCCAGGTTTCTCACTTTGGGAATGGGAAGTTACATATAAGCAAGGGAGTAAGGATAGAATGAACCCTGCGATACTGCAGTAGCGTCAGAAACATCAGAATGAACTTATGATAAACTTAATACAGATACAGATGGACAGATACAGAAATAATTATAGGTATACATATACATATAAAAGCCAGTGGCCATCAGGTCAATTCTGGCTCATGGTGACCTCATGAGTTTCAGAATATAACTGTGTTCCATAGGGTTTTCAATGGTTAAATTAGATACCTGCCATTCTAAAACGTATTTAAAATGCAATTAATAACTTAGAGCTGGTAAGAACTGAGAAGGGAGATGGGCTGAAGACCAAAGTGGTTTCCTATTTTCATCAGGGTTAATTTAATTTTAAAATATACATTTTCATTCCAACCAATACGGAATGAAAAACTGAAGGTAATAAAAATGAGTTAACATTTTAAGTCTCTTATCTATAGATTGGAGCCCCAGCAGCACAGTCGTTAAGAGCTCGGCTGCTAACCAAAAGGTCAGCAGTTCAAATCCACCTTAGAAACCCTATGGGGCAGTTCCACTCTGTCTTATGGGGTTGCTACAAGTCAGAATCGACTGAAGGCAACAGGTTTTTGTTTGGTTTATATGTAGACACAATACATTTAAAAATATGCAAAAAATGAGACTTGGAACTTGGAAAAAGTTAACATTGCATTACATTTTCCAGTTGCCCATATATGTTTGACTATAAATCTTTATAATCCTAATAGAAGAATTTAATTACTCATAGTCTTTCCTTCGTAGTCTATATACAAAAACCAAGTCAAACCCATTGCCGTCGAGTCAATTCCGACTCATAGCAACCCTATAGGACAGAGTAGAATGGCCCCACCAGGTTTCCAAGGAGCAGCTGCTGGATTCAAACTGCCCACCTTTCAGTTAGCAGCCATAGCTCTCAAACCACTGTGCCACCAGGGCTCCCTGTACCTACATATACTACCGATTAAAGGTCTGGGACAAAGTACTAAAATTTATCATGGAAAGATAATTTACCGGACATTTAAGTCAGCAAATAAACAAGCCTTCTTGATTAAATATGCTCAAACCCTAAATCTGCTTAGCAATACTTTTCAAATCACTGTTCTTCATATTTTTAAAAACATAAATGCCAGCACCTAGCCAAAAGAGAGACCATTTCACATTTTGTCTGTTAATGGCTGCTCAGGATATTTATCATATCAGTAAATCCAGTCAATTTTAAATTTAGAGTTCTGCATACTCAAAAGCCACCTCTTTATTTCTGATGTAAAGAAAAGTGAGTGTAGCAGAGTATTTAAAAGGTGTAGTAAGATTCAATTCTGGAATGTTTTTCTTTTGATAGTTCAAAAACGTCTTCCTAAAACCTGTGCCCTTTTGCTGAAAGATGTGGTAAAGTGGATTAGAAGAAATCACCTTCAACGAGGAATCATAAAACCTTAGAGTTTGGCCACTAATTGGTTGGATAATCTTAAACACATCACATAATCTCTCAGGCCCTTAATTTCCTTTATCTGTATGATAATGAAACATGCAAAGACCGGGAGATAGAAAACCAAAAGGGAAGAACATGCTCAGCATTTCTCAAGCTGCAAGAACTAAAGAAAAACTTCAAGCCTCGAGTTGCAATACTGAAGGATTCTATGGAGAATAAACTAAGCAACACAGGAAGCATCAAAAGAAGATGGAAGGAAGACACGGCTTCAAAGTACCAAAAAGAATTGGTTGATATTCAACCATTTCAAGAGGCAGCATATGATCAAGAACTGATGGTAGTGAAGAAAGAGATCCAAGCTGCACTGAAAGCAATGGCGAAAAACAAGGCTCCAGGAATTGATGGAATATCAGTTGAGATGTTTCAACAAATGCAGCGCTGGAAGTGCTCACTGTATATGCCAAGAAATCTGTTAGACAGCTACCTGGCCAACCAACTGGAAAAGATCCATATTTGCACTCATTCCAAAGAAGGGTGATCCAACTGAATGCAGAAATTATTGAACAATATCATTAATATCACACACAAGTAAAATTTTGCTGAAGACCATTCAAAAGCAGCTGCAGCAGTGTATCAACAGGGAAATGTCAGAAATTGAAGCCAGATTCAGAAGAGGACGTGGAACAAGGGATATCACTGCTGATGTCAGATGGATCCTGGCTGAAAGCAAATACCAGAAAGATGTTTACCTGTGTTTTATTGACTATGCAAAGGCATTTGACTGTATAGATGATAGCAAATTATGGATAACATTACAAAGAATGGGAATCCCAGAATACTTAATTGTGCTCATGAGGAACCTGTATATAGATCAAGAAGTAGTAGATCAAACAGAACAAGGGGATACCGTGTGGTTTAAAGTCAGGAAAGGTGTGCGTCAGGGTTGTATCCTTTCACCATACTTATTCAATCTGTATGCTGAGCAAATAATTTGAGAAACTGGACTATATGAAGAAGAACGCAGCATCAAGACTGGAGGAAGACTCATTAATAACCTGCATTATGCAGATGACACAACCTCGCTTGCCGAAAGTGAAGAGGACTTGAAGCACTTACAGATAAAGATCAAAGACCACAGCCTTCAGTATGGATTACACCTCAACATAAGGAAAACAAAAATCCTCACAAGTGGACCAAAAAGCAACATCATGATAAACAGAGAAAATACTGAAATTGTCAAGGATTTCATTTTACTTGGATCCACAATCAATGCCTATGGAAGTAGCAGTCAGGAAATCAAACAACACATTGCATTGGGCAAATCTGCTGCAAAAGATCTCTTTAAAGTGCTAAAAAGCAAAGGTGTCACTTTAAGGACTAAGGTGTGCCTGACTCAAGCCATGGTATTTTCAGTGGCCTCCTAGGTATGCCAAAGCCAGACAATGAATAAGAAGATGGGAGAATTGATGCCTTTGAACTATGGTGCTGGAGAAGAATACTGAATATACCATGGACTGCCAGAAGAACGAACAAATCTGTCTTGGAAGAAGTACAGCCAGAATGCTCATTAGAAGTGAGGATGACGAGACTTTGTCTAATCTACTTTGGACATGTTATCAGGAGGGACCAGTCCCTGGAGAAGGACATCATGATTGGCAGAACAGAGGGTCGGCGAAAAAGAGGAAGACCCTGAGTGAGATGGATTGACATAGTGGCTGCAACAACGGGCTCAAGTATAACTATGACTGTAAGGATGGCGCAGGACCAGGCAGTGTTTCGTTCTGTTGCACACAGGGTCTCTATGAGTCAGAAGCAACTCAACGGCACCTAATACACGTAGTGTTAAGTGAAACATTGAATTCCTTGGTCTCAAGTTTCTTCCAGCTCTAATCAGGGAAGTTGCATTGTACAATTCTAGGAAACACCATTTACGAGGCCATGCTAACATTATACAGTTCTATGAAAAGCCCTAACATCCTCCATTCAAGGTGTCATGTATAATCCTCCTCTTACTCAGCAGCCAACAGTAACACGCAATCAATTATAACAGAGCTACCATTATGTGTGAACGCACGGCTAGGGTAACAACGTATCAGTACAAGAATCAGTATCTGTCATTAAGGAGGTTATAATTTATTTTTAATAGATAATAAATGTGCATATAGCATAAAATTCAGGAGACATAAAAATGTATAAGATAAAAACTATAATTCAAAATACAAAACAGTATCAACTCTTAAATCAATTTTAGTACCTACAGCCATAGAGAGTTAAAGAATATACTATAAAAATCATAGATTTTTAAAAAATCACACTTATTGCTAGAGGTTTAGACTCCTAAACACAGGAGGATAACAGTCGGGGTGGCCAGCGGGGGCGGCGCGGGGCACCCTAGCATAAG